AAAACGTAGGTGTGAGCGGCAGTGTGGCCCAACCTGTTCTGCAGGTTGCGGTCACTATGACAACATGCACAAAAACATGTCTGTCAGTAATAAAAACTAAAAAGAGCTCATGAGCTGAGAATGGTGTGCATACTGTAGCACACCCTACTGGTGAAATGCCTCAAATTCTCTCATACAACAAAAGAACACCGCTTTTCTGCAAACAAGTTTGATCTCATAAAATTGTTTGAAATATGATCCCACAGCCTAGTTGGTTGATGTTCTGCCAATGTGGAATAGTTTTGATAAAAAAAAAAAAAACTATTTCAAAAATACTTTTCAAACCGCCACCGACTCCTAGAAAGTCTCGGAGAAATTACAATTATTTTATAAAATAATGAAAAAAAAATGTTTGCCTTTTGTTTCCATTTAAATTATTTGCAGCAAATAAATGAGATATAAAGATCTGTGATGTCTGAGGACTTAAATCAGTTCGACATGTTAGAAGAAAAAAATTAGACATTTGCCTGAAACGCTTTCCTCAAATTGTTTTTGTTTTTGCAGTCTTTCAAAACTACGCCTTCACTTACAAACTACCTGTGATTTCTCTCTGCTGTGACCAATCCTAACTTTTGCGAAGCTAAGGCCTTAACATCACAGTTTTAAATACCTGGTTCAGAAGTTAGCGCTTCCTTCAGGACTTTCTCACAGCGCTCATACTGCTTCATCTTCATCAGAAGCTCAGCCAGGTCATAACGCAGGAAGTTCTGTTGTTCTGTCCTCAGGGCTACCTCATAGTAATTAATTGCCTGTTTGATAATCACAGAATTTGTTTAACCCAAGTTTGTTTCGATGCAAATAACTTTTAAATGAGTCTACAACGTGGGCCTACCTTGTTGTAGTTATGAGTCTTGACCAAGGCTTTCCCAATTTTACTGGCTAAAGCTCCATCTTTGGCGTTTTTCTCCAGAGCCTGTTCGTAAATCTCAATGGCTTTTTCAGGCTGAGGATAAACAAACATGATGGTAAGTAGCGTCACAATTTATTGCTGGTTGCTGGTATTTGTAAATATTATTAACAGTTGGGAACATGTGGTAAACATCTAAGGAAATGATTCATGCTTTAACAGACAAGCTGCTCTGGAAAAATACAGTTACTGATGGTCAGGTGGAGGTGATTCACTTAGACTTTGAGTGCTGCTATCTTCTCTATCGTCACAACCAAAATATGTGTCAACATCAGGATGCCTGTGTCAGCATCCATAAACTCATGGCGATGAGAAAAWGTCCCGGTTTTTGATTTAATGATTTATCTGAAACCAGCTGCCACTTAGCTGCAGATAAATGCTGTATGTTTTTGCTCTCTCGTAACCTTTTTATATCATGTTCATGGAGCTAAATGAGTCACTTCACTTCAGTGTTTTTTGTAAAGAAAAAAAAAAACATCATTTGTGCTGAGTAACTGTCCAGTCAGGCATCTTAACTCCTAAAAGTTTCAAAAACAGTAATTGTTTAGTTTTGGGACAGCGCTTCATCTAGTTGATACAGCTAGGTGTGCAACTACATCACATTTCTTTAATTAATTTAATAAAGAAACACTTCTTAAAGTGTTTTACATCACATATACCTGCTTTTACCTGGCTAGTGAGAAGTTTAGACACTAATTAAGATAAAGTTTTGGTAAATGATTCAATAATCCATCCATCCATCCATCCATCCATCCATCCATCCATCCATCCATCCATCCATTTTCTTCTACTTATTCGGATTGGGTCACAGGGGCAGCAGCCTAAGCAGAGACCCAGACGTTCCCTGGCCAGCCGAGATACATAGTCCCTCCAGCGTGTCCTGGGTCTTCCTCTGAGTTTCCTCCCAGTGGGACATCCCAGAAACACCTCACCAGGGAGGCGTCCAGGAGGCATCCTAACCAGATGAACCACCKCAACTGGCTCCTCTCGACGTGGAGGAGCAGCAGCTCTACTCTGAGTCCCTCCTGGATGACTGAGCTTCTCACCCTATCTCTAAGGGAGAGCCCAGCCGCCCTGCAAAGGAAACTCATTTCGGTCGCTTGTCTCCGTGATCTCGTTCTTTTGGTCACTACCCAAAGCTCGTGACCAGAGATGAGGGTAGGACCGTAGACCGACCRGTAAACCGAGAGTTTCTGCTCTCGCTTCACCACGACAGACCGGTACAGCGCCCGCATCACTGCAGACGCAGCACCAATTCACCTGTCAATCTCGCGCTCCATTCTTCCCCCATTCATGAACAAGACCCCKAGATACTTAAACTCCTCCACTTGGAGCAGGACCTCCTCCCCGACCCGGAGAAGGCACTCTACCCTTTTCCGGCTCAAGACCATGGTCTCGGATTTGGAGACACTGATCCTCATCCCGGCCGCTTCACACTCAGCTGCGAACCGCTCCAGTGAGAGCTGGAGATCACGATCTGATGAAGCCAACATGACCACATCATCCACAAAAATGTTTTTTATCAGGTTTATCAATAAACCTGATAAAAAATATAAATATGCTGTTACATAAACCGTAAGTAAAATGTCATACTGAAATGATTTTATATTTAGTTTTCACATTTGTGTCACACCATTAGATTAAATTAAGCTATTTTCAAAAATGTGAAAAAAGTTAGTGAGGGGAATTGTTTGTGTAAAGTCAGGGTATACTTTCAAAAAAAAAAAAAAGCTCAGATGTTTTTAATGAATCAAATATTATACGTACCTCCTGAATGTTCATGTAAGCGTCACCGAGCAGGAGGTACGTGTGAGCGCTGGGCAGCTTCTCCACCATTTCTCTGCAGGAAAGAGTCACAATCATTTTTCTATTATCCTCTCTTGATTAATCACACTAAATAACTCTAAGCTACTAAGAAGATGTAACATCTTTTATGAGTTTGAGTGTACCAGTCACCTGTAGCAGCTCACATACAGCAGTTTTTCTCTTCTGTGTTTCAGGTATATGTCAGCCATCTTCTCTTTGGCTTGGATGTAATAGGGCTGCTCGGGGGTAATGTTTCTCAGCATAGTCAGCGCCAGCTCCGTGTCGCCACGCAGCAGGGCCAGGTCTGCATTAGCAATAGTGACACGTAGTTCTTCAGGTGTGCCAGAGAACTCATTGATGGCATCTTGCATCACCTTTGTCGCTTGATGCTGAAAGATGGTCATCAGATAGTCATCGGAAAAATTGCTTTTTGCTTTAAAGCCAGAAATATGTGTGAACTCAAAGACAACAGGATCAAGTTACACTCGTTTTAGGTGAAAGGAATCATTGTTTTACCTGTTCCCCATTGAGCCACAGAGCCTCAGCTAACTCCAAGAAGACAGAAACACAGTCAGCAGAGCTCAGTTCTGTCTTCTTGTGCTTTGATTTGGATGACCCGGCTCTACGGACACTAGGAAGGGTCATAGCCATCTGCAACGTCTGAATAGCCTCAGCGAGCTCCCCCTTTTTCTTCTTAGCTTGAGCTTTGATCAGGTGGTACAAAGGGTGGTCTCGGATCTGGCATGGGCAAAGAATCAATGAATTTATGCAGACATAGCTCTCAAATAGTTCAAGATTTAAACTCATGCTAATCGGACGGGGACTCTGATTTAGAACTGGAAATTTTGTTTATATGAAGACATTTAAATCTGTTCTTCTTTCAGTGAACCGTTTTAAAGTAATTTTACTAGGTGAAACATTATTTTTTTCTCTTGGTTTTACCTCAAAGTTGTGGCTGAGGCAGAGTTCGAGCGACTGATTGCACAGTGTCACATTATCCTGCAGCAGGTGGATCTGGGCCATTAACAGATGAGCCTCTGCATAAGATGGACACTGGTCCAGGCAGTGGCTCAGACCATTCTGAGCAGCATCTATGTCACCTGAATGAACACAACAAGAATCTGAGTCAAGTCGCTCCCTGCAGAAATAGGTAAACTGATAAACTAAATTAAATGGCTGAACTYACCCGACTGAAATCGGACTTTGGCGAGCAGGAAGACTGCTTGACGGAGACCCGGCACGATTTTGACCACAGTATCCAACAATGTGGCACAGTGCTGAAGCTGAGGAGCAGGGGACTGGCCAGGAGAAGGAGGCTAAAATAAACAAAGTAAAAAATAAATAAATAAAGTAAAAAACGTCTTAAAAATGTTAATAGTCCTAAATGTCTCTTATTGTTTTTCTCCTGCCACCAAGAAAGTTAGGCAGCCATGTAATCACCTCTCTCTGTGATTACAGTGTATTTTCAGGCTCATACTCCAATTCTATACCACAATCAAGTAACTTTATTACCTTCAGTTGTAATGAAAATGCTGTATATATACAAATTAAAACTGACTTTGCATCATAGCCTAATCTAAATGCCTTGAAATTGCCCTCTGTCTCTTTAAGAACATCCTACCATTACCATATACTTTGAGCTCTAACAGATTCCAACCTTTCATTTAAAACATGGGTAACCTACAAAGATGGTTTAGAATGATTACTATACACCAAGACCACCAGAGAAATGATTAGGCTCCAACAGATTCTCTTCACTTTTGAATCATTTGTCCAGATTTTGAAACCATAATTAACCAATAACTCTTCTTTTGCTTTTACCTTAGCAGGACAAAGMGCAAGATACTCTTTGACAATCTCCAACAGGAAGTCTGGGTTCATCTTCTCCAGATACTCGACTCCCAGAGGCAGACCTTGGAGCGAGGAGAAGTGTGTATCCACAGAGTCATTCAACAGGTTGGTCACTTCTGCCTGAGGCTGCTGCTTTTTTCCTGCCAGTACAGCTTGTAGGTACAAAAGTTCCTAAAGATGAAAACACAGAAAAGAATGAACAGGAAATACAGTAAAAGTAAAACATAATATTAAAGTACCAAAGTAGAAAACAAGGCACATCATTTCTAAAGAATAATTAAAGTCAGTCCTTCAAGTATACGCTTGTAAAAAATAACATCTTACCCCTGATTTTCCTATGGACTGCTGAACCTCAGCAAGAAACTCCACCTGTTGTTCTGCATCTTCAAGTTGTCCCTCAATTAACTGACTATGGGCCATACCTGAATAATAAAGTGATTAAAGAAAAGAATGAGCCTCCATATATAATGCAAACTACTGAAGAAAAAAAAATGCACAACATATTACCAATCAAAGCTGAAACACTAGTTTTCTCTGTGTTACTAATGGCTGCCTTGTACCACTTCAGAGCCTCCCTTATTTTGCCTTGAAGTACCATCTGGTAGCCCAGTTCTGTGGCTAGATCTGGGTCCCCTGAGGACACAGAATAAGCCCGTTCCACCATTCGGAACGTCTTCTCGAGCACTTTCGCACTGCGTCCACACTGCAATAAAACGGAATCAGAAAAATAAAATGAAATATATAAATAAACTGGAAGTTATTATGAGTAAAAATAAAAGAAAAAAAAGAAAATGTTTCAGGAGGAGAAGGTAATTTCATGATGAAGCCTAACTTTTAGTTTGAATTGTGAAACAACGTTATTGTGTTCTTGTTAATTTGGTAGCACTTTATCTTTTTAATTTGATGAATGTTTAGTACAAAATTTTAACCCAAACCAGTAAAAACTGAGCAACCAATAACAAATTTAATTCAGAAAGAATACTGAAAACTGATCTTACAACACGGGCGAAGGCGACAGCCATTCTGTAGAGCAGCTCAGGGTTGTGTGGCTCCAGAACCTCCAAGCTGCTGATGAGGTTTGATATGTGCTTTTCTGCCTGTTAATGGGGGATATAAAGACAGATGGTGAGAACTGATGAACATCTTGTCAAACCTACAATCTCCAATTTATATAAAAATATAATAATTTTGATACTCTACCATTCAAAGAATAAACATGGATTGATGTGTAAGAATTACCTCATCAATATCCCCCTCTCTACAAAGAGAATGGAGAGCCAGCATCCGCAGCGCCTCCAGGTTATTTTTATCTTTCTGTAAAAGCCTGAAACATGACACAAGGCGATGTGAATAAAATCTAACCCCAGCACTTAATAAGAAAGGATTCCTTTACTGCTCACAATAGAATATCTGATACTCCTGCAGCACTATGTTAAATTGCCAGATAAATACAATTAACAATAAAAAAGGTGCTTGTTACCCAGATTGTGTGCAGGCGCCATGGGGGCTCTGGACTTTGTGYAACCTAAGATATGGCTCTACTTCCTGTTTAGCAAACCTAGAAAGCAATTCTATCAAACTATTTGTGATTCTAGGACTTTGGCTCAAAGACATTTTGTGTTGTCTGGAACATTTTAGGATTAAAAAGAGCAAGAACAAATAGCACTGCTGTTTTGATCTCTATGCACAGATTTTAAATATTCCTGCTCGTTCTAATCATCGAATGTATTGTTTGCTTTTGAAAAGACTTTGTCAAAACACAGAGGCAAACCCGAATAAGCTTCTATGGAGAGCAAATGTGTGTATAATTTAGAAAATAATTATAAACTGTCTTCATTTTTACCTGTGTGCTGCATCTACGGTTTGATCCCAATCTTGAAGGCTTAACAGCAGTTTCATTTTCTTGATAAGGGCCGGTAAGAACCCAGGAAAACTTGCTATAACTTGGTTAACAATTTCTAATGCTCCAGAGTAGTTCTGACGATATTCATAGTATTGTGCCTAGAATGAAAGAAACAAGCCACACAAGACAAGATATTTAAATATCAGTTTGCAAACAAAACATAAGGCTGTATTTATAAATGCAATGACGGAATAACTGAAATATTTTACAGTATTGGAGAATCGTAACCTCTGTCAGTATTAGCAAACATTTGGTTTGCTTTCAGACCTTTTTCGTTTGTTTTATTAAAATGGATTTATTTTCCCAGGAAGCGTCCAACTAAAATATTTCTTATTTCAGGTATCATAGTGAAAATGTGTGTGTGTGTGTGTGTGTGT